GAAAATGTATACTATATATATATATATATATATATATATATATAAATTGAATACACCTCATAAATTGAATATTTGACCAATTACCAATAACAATCACAAGACAAATCTTAAATGTAAAGAAAAAAATATATAATTTCAGACATAAAAATGCAATAATATGCATATTTTAATCTTATTTAAGCTATCTTAGCATTTACATTTTAGTTAAAAACGAAGTAGCCTATGCATTCAAATTGCAAATGTGCAAACACGAAATAAAATCAAAACAGCCAGTCGTACACGCAGAAATCTACCTGGAGGTCTGTGCATGTAGTTGTGGTTAGAGCCGGTTGTGTCGCGGCGCTGCTGTATTGAAGTAAAGCATCTCCTTTGGTCTCGCGCTGCAAGTAGCTGATGTTCACACTCCTATGGGGTGTACTATATGTCTGAACTCATCTACAGCAGCCGCAGCCCGCGCGCTCTCCTCTCACACCCTCGCCGTGACGTCACGCGGGCAGTCGAGCGCTCGTTAGCATAATAATGAGTTCATTTACACTCAAACAGTCACCGAAACTTGCAAATGATAAACAAGTACCACTAAATGTAAATCATGCATATATTATTTACATACATATACAAGAAATGTAGTAACCATGGTTCCCGCCAAAATACCACAACAGTTGGCATTTCTACAGTAAAACTGTGGTATCCCTTGTGAAAAAGAAGTGTTTAATTGTATTAACTGTGCACTTGTAGGGTGCTTCAAATCTTATAAAAATATTTTTAAAAACTGTACTTGCATACACTATAATATTAATGAAATAAAAAGATACTTTTATGACTTTCTTAACACACTTTTAAAAAGAACACTTTGCAATAATGTCAAACTAAAAGTTTTACTGTACATTTTCAATCATTACATTTTAATACTACATTTAATTTGATGTGCTGACTAACAAAACCACATGTAAAATATCTGATTATACATTCAAATTTTGTGTTAAATCGATATTTCATTTCATTTTAACCGTGAAATAAACACAGCTCTCACAGCATGGTGTGTGGTTTTAAATGACAATTCGGTTCTTAGAAAACTTGACTTGAAACACTGAAATGCACAAAGGGTTTGAAGTTCAAGGAATTTAGCCTGACCAGGATTTAGGTACTTAGAAATATTAACAGACTGTGGATAATAGGGGTTGAGAAAACTGTAATTTGATATGCATATTTAATGCATCACTTCCTACTTCATCCGCCATGTAAATCATTGCCAATGACATTCCCATAAAAACCTTCAGATGGATTTTATGATCTTTAATGGACATCTTATGAAATGTTTAGTGGAATAATGTGAATAGAGCTGAATCCAGGAAGGAGAATTTGGTAACAACAATTTGAGAACAGTATAAGGCTGTTAAGCATGTATTTGACAAAGTGCATAAAAGTGAGAATGTGTCATTTTGGTGCAACATTCCAAATAAGAGATTTCAAAAGTCCTGAGCTCATCAGTAATGTATTCTTAACCAAAGCCTAGTCCTGAGCATCAAAGGAAGAGTCTGTTTGGACTGTATTATTAGTGCGTAAGTGTCAGTCTTGAGATAGTAGCTAAACGCGGTAAAGAAACCAGTTAGACGGGGGAGGGATGGGATTTATCTAGAAAGTCCCTTTCTACGGCTCTTCCTCATGATGCTTTGTCAGAGATTCCAGGCCAATGGATTGTAAGACAGAATTTGCCTCTCAATGCTATAGCTTTCACACTCTTCAGGGGGTCTCATTCACTCCTTTTTCCCAAGTCATTAGCCCTTTTACTGTCCCCCGGCCTTGGCCACGGAGCGCTTTTGCAGGATTCCAATACACACAAACACTCTGATTCAAACAGTATGTGCCAGTCAGACATCCACAATCTTCCACATACCTCCATGAATTGAACTCTAATATTGTCATGAAAACTAGTCCATAAAGGACATACTTTCAGGTTTGCAGGAAGGAGCACAATTGAGCAGACACAACTTTTTCTAAAATTTTAGACATAAAATCTAAAATTTTATTACAGGAAAGCTGTAAGAAAGTTGAAAAAAATGTGTTTACTTACCCAGTCAGAACAACAAACGATGAAAAGTTTCCAGAGTTGACCTCATGCATTGAATTAAACGTCTATTAAAAACAAAATAAGCTCTTCTTAAAAGTTATGCTTCCAACCACTAAAAACACACGTGCGTCATCAGAACTGGTTCTGCTGCTTCTGCGTCCTCTTCATGAGCGGTGATGTTGTTGTGTAAACCTGTGTCACAGGTTAAAGCATTTTCTATATAATCTTAAGTCGACACATTCCTACAGCTCAGGGTTAAATCATGCTGGAGAACCTGTCAGCAAGGTCATAGTACCTGGCTGTTGTTCCGGTTTTCTTATCAAGAACCCAGAGCCGCCTTCCCTTCCCCTAAACTGCCCATCTGAGCCCTTTATGGGTGCTTTATCACCTGGGCTTTATGGGAACAAATGGGGTGTGATAAGCGATGGCATATTAAAGGGATAATTAATGATGACCAGGGTGTTACACTCGTTGTCACGTTTATTGGTCTGGTCATGTTTGACACATCACAGGACAGGTATGAAATGTCTCGAGGAATGTTTGAATCTCTTGAAGAACCAGCCAGCTCACATTTCCCCTAAAATCAAAATAATCTAAGTAAATGGCACTCGACAATTAAGTCTTTTTGTGAAGACGTTTTTGCACGATGACATGCTTTATGACATTTTTTTTCACAAATTTTTTTTGACAATAAGCACCTCCCCCAATTCTCATTACTGCCATGCAAAAAAATCCTGTTGTCCTTACTGTAATAAAGCTAAAAATCTTATCTTATCTAATAATAAATTAAACAGTTCATACTTTACAATTAAATATATAAACAGTAGTCAACATTTGAAGTGGATCAAAACCTTTCATCAAAGTTGTCCTAAAACCTAAAAGTGTTCTTGTGTTAGGACAACTTTGATGAATTTTTTTGATCCACTTCAAATGTTGATTACTGTATATGTGTGTGTGTGTATATATATATATCTATATATAGTGTGTATATATAGCGTGTATATATATATATATATATATATATACACACACACACACACACACACACACATATATATATATATATATATATATATGAGATGTGATAGAAATATGAGATATGTGATAGAAACGTAGACAGATACAGAGACAGAAAGATAGACAGACAGACAGACAGATATAGATAGATAGATAGACTGACAGTCACAGAAGGATAGACAGACAGATACATTACACAGATAGACAGATAGACCCAGAGAGACAGACAGACAGACAGACAGACACGTTAAAAAGACAGAGACAGATCAATAGAAAGACAGACATTCAGAAGACAGACAGGCAGATAGATAGAAAGATAGAGAGACATACAGAAAAACTAACATACAGACAGACAGACAGACAGACAGATGGACGGAAGGGCAGGCAGACAGACAGACAGACAGACAGACAGATAGATAGATAGATAGATAGATAGATAGATATTTGCTCTTGATGGTTTTTGTGAGATTCACCCTGGTAAGTTTTATTAGACCTTTCAATGGACTTTTAAATTCTGACTTGGTCAAATCTAATCTTGTTAAAATGAAGCCAGTTAGGCTCTTGAAGTTCCTGTCTGTTGTACCGAGTATCTCCAGGATGGATGGTTAGCGGGTGGATTGTATCAGTTGCCCATCGATTGTCCCCATAAGCGAATTCCAGTCTCAGTGAAACCAGAACAATGAGTTGACCGGTGTCAAAGAGTCCTCTCAGCTCTGCTCCCACACTGCCCCAGCAGCACGTTCCTATCCATATTCATGTGTCTGAGACGTTTGGGACTGGACAAACATCCAGTTCTAGCAATATGCAGCCTGGAATCTACTAACGCCCCTCACTAGATTGAACTCTACAGTGGCTTCCTTCATGACGGGCCATTTGTGGACATTGAGGTCTTTGTTTTCAGCCACAGAGATGTTCGATTTTGCGGCATTGTGGCTCGCAACAATCATATTTTATTCAACAGTCCACTGACCAGCAGTACTAAAGTCACACAGTTTTAGCCACACGACTGAATAGTTTTTCCATGATGCAACTACAGAGCAGCAAGGACACCCTTGTGAAAAAGAAGTGTGCTTAATTGTACTGAATGTGCACTTGTAGTGTACTTAAAATCTTAAAAGCATATTTAAAAAAAGTATTCATACAGATAATATAATATTACTGAAGTAAAAGGCCACTAAAGTACACTTAAAAGACACTTTCATGAGTTTCTTAACACACTTAAGTACACTTTTAAAAAGTGCACTTTAATAATGTCAAAATAGAAGTTTTACTTCAAAGTACATTTTAAATCATATGAATAATTTCATGGTGCTTTGAAAAAGTACACTTAGTTTGATGTTGACTACCATACTAAAGCACATGTATTTTAAATGTATTAAATTGCATTACAAATGTAAAATTACAATTATTTTTAAGTACATTACATACAAGTTTCGATAGAAATTATGTTATGGCATATTTTAGTTTACCATAAATGCTTGTCAGTACATTCGGTAGTACACTTTATCCATATTTCAAAAGACAACAGAAGCAATTATGAAATTTCATATAAAGATGTGATGTCCTACTTAAGTAGGTTAAAAAGCACTCTTAAGTTCAGACAATTGCATTTAATATAAATTTGAACAATAACACATTTTTACTTGTGAATAACATGCAATTAAGCGTTTGAAAACATTACATTCAGTTCACACTTAAGTATATTATTTTAAATTATATTATTTGCTAAAGTTTCCTTCTTTTTCACAAGGGTATAGAGAAGTGTTAAGAGATTCTGATTATACTCTTGTAGAGCACACGTATGGAACACATATATTTTATATAATTATTTTTATAATTCATCTGATTTTGGACCCAAAGCTTCATTTTATTTGAATTTAGTTTGAATTAAATGGCATTTTGCTGACTAGATATAACCATTCCCTTTTGTAGTGAAGCAAAATATCTAGAAGAAAAAAGTCAACAGTTTTTTAAAGGGGTCATATGATGTTGCTAAAAAGAACAGAGACTTTAGTCTTTGCAACTTTACAGATCTTCTTTATGCACCAAGAGCTTGTAACACTCCAAAGAGAAAGGAAAAATTGAAATCGCATCATATGACCCCTTTAACATATTACAACTGACCTGGTGTGGCATTCTAATTATGCACCAGATATCAGTACTGCAGAAGCGATGTTCTCGATTTGGTTGCTCTAAATTCCCAGACCACACAGACAATGCACTTCATCTTGTAAAGTTGTGTAAAACCAGGCTAAAGATTAACCTGCCTCTCCCAGTGGAGCTATGTCAGTATGCTAAGTGATAAATCACCGGTCACAACTTACTGTCCACTTAGAAATCTGCAGCATCACTGCAGGAAGAGGAACAAGGA